TACAGAAAGCCACTCACTTTGACTGTTGAATAAACGTTTATATGCAGTTTCCTCATAAGGATGGCACCTCTAAAGCTGGTGCTCAGCTTTATTTGTAACCATCAGAATGGGTCAAATGTGGAATAGGTTAGATATTTTAATAAATATCAGCAAACCCAAAATTCATCAATGGTTCATCACCTCTACAGTTCACCATAAGTGAATGTTACACAGCTCAGAAAAGGAAGTGCCAATCTGTTGCATTGTGTGATAACCTAGGTGCTTATATGATGAGGTGCAACATGACAAGTAGTTGTCATTGTCTTAAATGACAAAAAAAGCATAACTGGAGTCCCCAGCACAGTGCTATCTGGAGTCATGGCTACTGGTCATCTCCATCAAGTTCAAATGATAGCCCTGCCTGTCAGTATGAAGCAACATCAGGACCTGGTTCAACAGCCTCCCTGCACATACATGTACTGTTTATTTTCTGTCACTCATGATTCAAAATCCTCTCTGAATGTGTGTTCTGTTGTGCATAGGTAGCCCTTATGGACACTCAGGAGTCTTTAAACAGACCTATCTCACTGCCTGTTTGTTCCTCCCATATATTAATTGGAAAGCTATTATCTGCCTGCAGAACAGGACCCTCTTATTTTTCCTGTGTGGAAAGATGTCAGGAAAACTGACTTTGGTTCGTGAAGCTGTTGGATTAACTTATATGGTTTGGTTTTCTCTTTTGCTTTCAGACACAACAGAGGAGCCTGCACCGCAGCCCAACAACACAATAGGCTCCATCATCGGTGTGATCCTTACAGTTTTTGTGGTTGGAGCAATGTATTTCATTTGCCAGAGGGTGCTGTGCCCACGCATGAAGGGAGATGGGGAAACAATGACCAATGATTACGTGGTGCACGGGCCAGCCTCTGTACCTCTTGGTTATGTGCCTCACCCAAGCTCTTTGTCAGGGTCTCTCCCTGGTGAGTAAATGGTGATCCTTATCCTGCTCTTCAGCACCACATAGCTGAGGATACTGTGCATGTATGCATAGATGTCAGTTCCAGATGCATAGTCCTTGGAAGCTGCTGGAAGGCAGGACTGTCAAGCCTTGTGACCATTCTTTATAGTAATGAACTGCTATTTTACCTATGCTCTTCACAAGCATCTAGATACTCAGCAGTACCATAAGCTCAAATAGATATACATACTGTGGGAGTTATTTTGCTACTAAAGAAACCTCTCTTTGGACTATTACAGCATCAGCAAGGTGTCATGACAACACAGGGTAAAGTTACACGGGCTTACATTCGTGGGCCTTTAAACATTATGTAATTATTCCTGTTAGATTCATAGACTGGGTTTTTCTGCTAGTGAAACTTCTTGTGAAGTCCGTAATGACCATCAATAACTATGGCCTCAGCATATTTCATTTGATGGTCAAGTTTCCAACACCAATCCAAGTGCATAATGCCACTGCTGTTTAAGAAATAAGACTTAGCCACAATGTTGCACTTAATTTGTATGCATTGCTTGTATATATATTGATTAAATATATACTGTGACTTGTGACTTTGGATCCAGCAGGTTCCAGTCAGAACACAGAGGTTCTGTGAGTCTGTTACAGAGTTAAAATAATGCACCAGATTTCTTTGTTCTCTCTAAAAATCTGCTTTTGTAAAGGGAGTCTTTGAGCAGGATTTCCACCATGATTTCAAGCACAGTGACATACCTCTCCATTTCTCACTTGGACTCTGCCAGCGTGCTTCAGTCCAGTAGTAAAAGCTTCCTTAGCACTGTGGAAGTGAAAGGACACAAACCCTCTCTTCAGAAATTTCAGTTGCTCAGTTGAGGTCATCAGAGTCAGTTTTATGTTTTATTCTGAGGCATAGCAATAGTGTCTGAATGCCTGTTCTCTCAAGTCTTTTCCAACTGTTGAAGTGAAAGAAACCTGCTGCTCTTCACACAGCTCTAGTATAGCCCAAGTGGCAAGACTTGGAGCTGAGAAACTGATACACAGCAGCACCAACACGGTTATTCCCTGGCAGTCTTCATTTCAGGTGTCCATCAACATGGATTGTATTTGCTTTTAATACCAACAAGACGAATTTTGGGTTTAGGAGTTGTGCTTATACTGCTGTTATTCTCAAGAATATTTCTTAAGCTTTATTTTCTCTTTTTAATGATTTTAATATTGACGTATATCTTTGTTGTTGTTTAGGGATGTCTCGAGGTAAATCTGTGATCAGCTCCCTCAGCATTATGGGAGGGAGCAGTGGGCCACCCTATGACAGGGCCCATGTCACCGGAGCCTCTTCCAGTAGCTCTTCAAGTACCAAAGGCACTTACTTTCCTCCAGTAAGTTATTCTATTATTCATAAAACTCTAATAGCTTTCAGGGATGTGCCAGTGTCATTCTGGGGATAATTAATTGGCAGATTAATGTTTTGGTTTAGATTTCTAGCCTGATAAACTTCCTTAAATATGGAGTGAGTGATTTTGAAAGGGAAGGAAGAGGAGATTTTCTTCATTGAAAACAGTATAGGAATTTTCTGTTCATTTTAAGAAGTTGTGAGAGGTCAGTGCCAGAAAAATATGCTAGATTGAATGTCAGAGGAAATGAAAAAGTCCCTGTAAATGTTGAGCAGCTCTGGCAAAGTGATCTCCTTTCATTATACCCTGCCATGTGTCTCTATAGGCAAAACAATGGTTCATTCTGTATGGACCTTTCATGGAATGAAAATGTAAGTTTCATGTCTTGCAAGCGACAGATAAATAAACAGGTGTCTTGCAAATCTGTATCATTCCTCCAATCACAAATGAGTAGTGTGCTGTGCTAGATGCTATATAAAAGTTGGTAGCAGCCCTAGAGGGCTCCCTGTCTCTTCAGTTCAAACATGAGTGCTTGTTGTTTTAGTTATATTTATATGAAGTCCACCAAGCCACTATGAAATGTTAAGGATTTAAATACCCAGTCAGTGCAGGCTGAAATCTTCAACTGTCATCAGCTCTGAGAATTAACTCATGTTCTCTCTTTAAATTAATCAAAATACTGTTTGTGCAATAAGGGTAGGCCTCGGACAGCAGGCTTCAGGTATTAAAAACAGTATAACACTTGGGGACCAGAGCTAGCAGGAGCAGACGTCTGCCAGTTTGCCTAGGGCAGTGGTATCCCCAGTGACAAGCTAGTATTGAACTGCTAGTTTCAACTTTACTTTTCAGCACTATGTCAAAAGAGTAACGGTAGTCAGTGTGTTTTTTTCAGAAGAGCATAGTAGCAGCTTCTATGAGAATGTTATAAAGAGGCATTGCCAGTGTCTTTTAAACAACTGGGGAATAAACAGAAGAAAAATCCCATTTGTTGGAGGGGCTGTGCAAGCAGCTCTCAATTTCAGGTTACTATTAAACAGTGCTAAAAAGAAAATTGATAAATGAATGTTTTCTTGAGGCTCCTTTATTTGTTGTGGTTGGTTTTGGTTTGTTTTTATTTTTTAAACTGGCTTTTTTCTATTTTTTTTTTCCCCCTTAGATTTTAAACCCACCACCATCACCAGCTACTGAACGTTCACATTATACCATGGAATTCGGTTATTCTTCAAACAGCCCATCCACTCATAGATCCTACAGGTAATTATTATTACAATAGCTTCTGTTAGGATCAAAGCAGTTAGTGTAGAAAATGCAGAATAAAGACAGCCTCTGCTCCACAAGAATTGCAATCAAAGGCCCTAATTCTGCAAGCACTAAAACAGGTGCTTCAATAGGTTCACATGTATCGTGTCACTGAAGTGTGTGTTCAAGTGCAGCACTGAGCTAAATCGAACAGTAAGTGGCTTAGTGGTACTCCCCTTGGGTGTGTTGCTTTAGGGAGAATGACAACACACAGCACAAAATCAGCTAAATGCCAAAAGAAACTTGGTACCATGAGATAACTTTTGAGCCAAAAGTACCTTGGGATGAACCCTGCTTGTTTTTAGGCTTCTGTCATAAACAATTTGTTATGTAATTATCAGAAATGATAGGCAAACACAGTGTGGAGGAAAGCTGACAATATAAAGGCTAATAAATCAGACGTAAAATTATTATTATGGCCTATATAAAGCTCAGAAATTATAATTTCACATATTAAGGGTTAATATCTGAAAAAGGTTGCTGGCCTTCTGCTTATTTTTCTGTCTGATATTTGTGGTCATGCAAGCTTTATCTCTGTTTGCCCAAATGTGACTTTCTCACCTTCCCTCTAAGATGCTAGAGTTCATTATTATTTTATAACTAGTTACCAAAAATAGAGAGACCTACTACCCAAGGATGTTAAGGTTCCCATCCCAAATCACTAGTAGATCTGGGCAATGAGAAGCAAGCACTGTATTTGTGTATTGAAAGAAATGCATCCCTAACACAGAGCCTTTGGGGGCTTTTGGATAATGAGGTCTCTGGGGCTGAAAAGACATCTCTTCTCCATTAGCAGAAAATATGGCCTCTGTTGTGCGAAAGGTCAGACCAGATGTTTATAATGGTCCCTTCCAGCCATATAAAAAAAATCTTTTTAAATGATGAGTAATTTTCTAATGAAAGAAACCCAGATTTTGGCACTGACGTGAATCATGCTGATCGCTGGTTAGCGCATGTGACTTTTATTATTATAAATGGCTTTAGGGATGTAATGTAGGGTTGCATGTTTCCCAAATGCTCCCCAACCCAAAATTAAACCACTGTCTTGCTGCTTCTGATCTTCCTGTCCTTTATAACGTTCTGACTTGAATATTTAGGAGCTGCATCCCCATCTGCACCCAACAACTGATTTAGATGCTGGCAGTTGTACCTTCCAAGCATCTCCTAATTTGTTTTCTTTAAGCTATCTCGGGCTCATGTTAAAATACAGCCCACGGTAGCCACATTGGGGAAATCCATCCCACTCTGGCGAGTGATTCTCCTAACTGCTATTAATGTGCAAGGTGACTTTCAGTCTCACTCTCTGGACTTGAAAGTTAGTATCCATAACTTGCATAATGGAGTATCTTCTCCATATAATTACCACAAAACCCCCGGGGCACCCCCCCCCCTGTGCCCTTCCTGCCCCACTGCCTTAGGAGCAACTTTCCTACCTCAAATGAGTCCATGGGGAGGTTATTGTCGGCAGGTAATTAGTACCCCTTTCAGTAGCTGCTATAGATTGACTGGGGCTGTAGGTGCCAAGATGAGCCTTCTGCGGGGAGTGAGCAGTGAGCAGTGCAAGCCAGAGATGAGCCGTGGTGCTGCGTGGCTGCTGCAGAGAGCTCGACCCTCTCTCCCCGTCCCCACCTTGGCTTCTCCCCTGCGCTCGCTCCTTGGCGGGCACCTCCCCCCTTCCCCCCAAAACCCGCAGCCCTGTCCCATGTGCCGACGCTTTTCCCATCCCCGCAGCTACCGGCCTTACAGCTACCAGCACCTCGCACCTCCCACCCCGACTCAGAACCCGTCCCCCCGCCGCCCACTCCACGCAGCCAGTACCTGTCCGCGGAGGAGAACTACGAAAGCTGCCCGCCTTCCCCCTACACGGAGCGGAGCTACTCCCATCACCTCTACCCCCCGCCGCCCTCCCCTTGCACGGACTCCTCATGAGGGGCAGCCCCCCCCGCCCCGTTCTCCACCGTGAAAAGTGTAAATACGAAGCCTTCTGCTGGGGAGGGGGGAGGGAGCTCTCGGTGAGGGAAGGAGGTGGGACAGTGTACAGTTTAAATGTTATTAAACGGGGTGGAGGAGTGCTGAAGATATTTGTACAGAAGAAAAAACGAAAGAGGAAAAAGAAAAAAAAAAAAAAGGATATTTATATATTTTCTTAAACAGCCACTGCTGCTTGTGCCATAAGAAGAAAAAAAATTTTTGTATAAAAGAACCCAGACGTTTGTACAAAAAGTGTTTATTTTTGCAAATGGAACGCAAAAAACATGCCTTAATCCAGTGAAGTGACTGAGCACGTAAGGAAATGGAAGGACTGGGACGTGTTACTTGTCCAGCAAGGTGAGATGTGGGGTTTGTCAATGCCAAAAATGTTTAAAGTAATTAATAATAAAGAAGTCCGTCTCAGAGCAGCATACCATAGATACTTGGAAGTAGCCAAATAACCTCTAGGTTAACTACAGAGGGCCAGCAACTAAAGTTAAACTTGAAAACGCAGTCAGGACAGATAATAACCTTACACAAAGGGCTTTGTTTTCTACAGGAATACAGCAATCGTAGCAGTGAATCCAGAAAAATAATCACACGCTTTTTAAAATGAATACACCTGTTTTTCCTTAATGCATTTACCAAACTAGAGCATTTAGGACCCTTGCCTTCTGGATGCTTCAGTGATTTTTGTTGGGTATATTTTAAAGTTTGCTTTTTCCTCCTGTTTCCTCCCATCTCTTTTGCATCCTTTCTTCCTGCCCAGATCACTTTAAATCACGATATCCTTATTTAAAGAACTGCTAGAACTGGGCTGCTGTAAATTCTCTTCTTCTCCTGATTAGCCTTGTCATGCAGTGAGTATCATGCTATACATAACCTTCTTCAGTTTGCCAACATGGTAGGATTCTGTTTTATACCAGGTCAGTACGATTTTCACGCAGTTGACAAGGGTAATATGCATATACCTGAATGATTTTTAGTCCCTTAAAAAAGAAAACCTTATTTTGACCTAGTGCCCACAAAATGTCAAATATTTTTATACAACATATAATATAGACAGCGTATTTATAAACAATAAATTTAACCATGGATTGTTAGTTTTACTGTAAATGAATAATATATCCTTGCAGTACTTTCAGTGTATATTGATATCACACTATACAAATCATATATATAAAAATATGTAGTATTTTTTCCTACTAAGGAAGCATTTAACTTTTAGTGGAGCAACTGTCCATAAAAAAAATCAACGTTTTGATGATTAGAAGGAGTTCCCATGCTGTATTAACTGCTCATGATTTCCTTGTGTTAGGTAAAGCCAGTTTTTCTCACTATGATTTTGACATACCTCCTCCTTTGCTTGGTGTGAGTTTAATACTTTAGTGTTAACCGCTGTGAATGTCAAATTTTATGATATTCTTAACTAAATCATTTTATATTCGCATCTCTATTTTTGTATATTATCATATTTAGCCCCTTCTGCTGTCGGCTTCACCATGGTGATTTTGACAGAGAGAGTATATAATCAAGTTAAAACATTATTTGCATAGGTTGAGGGGCAACCTCTAGGATATTATTAACTCCTCTTTGACTCCAGTGCAGTGTTTTGAATTTGCTTTGACTGCAGTGGAGCTCACAGTATACCTGACCTTAGATGGCATTATGCATTTGCACCTTCTGTTGATATCAAGTCCATGTTGAAGGTGCTTGATGCCTTCAAAGACTGGCCCTCTGCTGTGTCTTCTCTCAAATATACTGAGGAACTTCTGCCCCCTAGTTTTTGGGCACAGTGTGGTTGTAACAACTCTTCAGAGGCGCCATGTGAGTTTTACTGTTCTCAGTTGCTTATTTCCCAGCCAGTTTCAACTAAAAGAGAAATAATCAGAACATGTGGCGTGGGCTTTAAGTCATGCGTTTGGAAGAATTAGTAACAAGTAATTCTTGCTAGTGCTGCCGCTCATCTGGTGTACTTACTGGAGCCTCACTTGGTTTCAGCTCCAAGGGAAAATCATGGCATTTAGGATTCCAGCTGTAATAAAGGGTCTTTCTAGTATTCCAAGATACCTAAGGAAACTAAAAAGGCTTAGTAATCTCCAGGCTATTGCAGCTGATCTCTCGATCTGGCATACCAAGGTGTTTGTTTGGCCAGCTTCCTTCTAGGTATCGAGGAATCATGGTAGCTGTTCTTTTGGCTTTCCTTGATGGTGAAGAAGCTTGTTTATGTTCTCCAGCAGGATGGATGTGAGGAGGGTATTGTGAACTATAAGGGAACTCAAAACCATTTATATGAAGGGGAGGAGGGCAGGTGTGTCGGGGCGGGGGCTGTTGAGGCTGGCACGCCAATGAGAATGGAAACTTCTCTGTTGTTTACATTTTTTCATGTGCAGCATTCCGTGTGGGGTTCACATATGTAAACTTGCACTAATGAACTCAGAAGAATATTGCATTGTTGAATCTCAGTCCAGACGCTTGTACTGTGATGGCAATGGTCTCTTCTTGCAAAATACTTTTTTCAGTGTGCCAATTTCTGTTTTAAAAACTCTGAGGTGGTTGAGCTTAAGGAGTGGTATCCTCTTTCTGGTAGAGTTGGACTGCCTCACTGAGGCTTCCTCTTGGAGGGGACTTCCTGGAGGAAGATTCCTATGTGTGGTAATTACAGCAAGAGTTCTTTAGAAGAAGAATGTTCTCTGCATGTGGATTGTGCTGCCTGCCTTCTGCATTAGTTTGTGTCCCTGCATTGCTCCGTTGGAGTCAATGCGGTGGATGACATATCACCTGTAGGATTTGATCAAGTCTTGTTGAGACATAAGTTTCGGTTTGTGCATCAGGTGTTTTGCATATTCGGCCTCTGAGAGGTTCACGTGAAGAGAGGAAAAGTGGGTAGACTGTGTTTTCCACTGAAGGTAACCAGCACAGGGAGAAGGCTGTTTCTCATCTGAACTAACCAAAGAATTTATTTAGTGGGAAGCTGTGATCTGCCTTTGCAAATACATGTATGTTCCTGGTAAATCTAGACTGAAATTTTGAAAGAGCTGATGATCTGTGAAGTTCCTCTTTGGCAGACTGCCAAATCACAAAAGCATTGATGCAACTAGTATGTGCACCTGACACATGTCCAGTGGATAAACTGGATTGATTAAATGTTGAGACTGAACAATTTCTCTGTTGTTCTCTCTGACACTGAGCTAGTCCTGATTCATTTTCTCTCCTTCCCTCCATGAGGATCTTGCTTTTTCCTGCTTCTCAAATTGACTAAGATGTTAGGATGACACACACATGTCAGTTCAGGAGATCACTAAAATGGATTTGTAGCATTAGTATGGAAGTGGTCTCATTGATGTCAATGAAACTGCTCTTTGTCTTTATGCTGAGCACAAACATCCTTATCTTACAGCATCAGACATATACATGTAGTGGGACATTTAACTCGGGTGCTCATGGTGCATTTTTTCTTCTCTGTAGACACCTGGGGAGTGTTCTTAGCTGACTAGAGATGGAAGTAGCTGGCATGGAAATGAAAGAAAAAAAAAAAAGGACATTACAGCATATTTTGTTGAAAACTTAACCTTGGCATTTTCAGCACTCATGGTGCATTTTTTCTTCTCTGTAGACACCTGGGGAGTGTTCTTAGCTGACTAGAGATGGAAGTAGCTGGCATGGAAATGAAAGAAAAAAAAAAAAGGACATTACAGCATATTTTGTTGAAAACTTAACCTTGGCATGTGCAGCAGGAGCTTAGCATGTTTAAATGGCAACATTAATGAAACCTAATCTGGCCTTTTAAAATTATACCTGCCATGCTATACTGTGTGCATTTTAGAGCTTCCTAAGGATCACTCCTGGTTTTTCCACTGCTTCTGGATACCAAGATATTTATTTGAAAAGAGTAGAGATACGATGAATGGCACATGCACATAACATTTGTGTTTGAAATAAAAAATGGCTTCCATTAATATAAATTAATGCGACCTGTGCATATAAATTAAATATTTACAGTAATGTAAAATATGCAAATGAGCCAGTTGACATAAAAGGATTCATTTTGCTGTGAGTTGTAACTTTCAGTGTTGTAAATTCCAGATTACTGCCATAACATTTTTCCCCCGTGTGCATGTACAAGTGTATGTATGCAGGTACATGTATCTTTGATAATGTGAATTTACCCAAAGCTAACAATTTTCTCTCTTGTGCATATACATTCATACACCTGCATTGGCAGATTCAGCCTCCCTGCCTTTCAGAGGACTGATGCTGGATGCTGTCCTGCTGTCTCAAGTAAGCTGGCCTTATTTGGCTAAGTTGTAGGACAGATAGCAGAATATTGCTACTTTAAAGCTCAATAGTTAATGCTTTGTCGTGCCAGACAGGAGAGGAAGCACTTTTTTTTAATATACTATTCCCTTACTTTTGGAGTCCATTTTGCAGATGAGTAGAACTCTGCTGTTTTCTGTAGATATATAAAAATAAATCTCTTGCAATCCTAGCATATTAATGATGAAAATTGCACCCAAACTGCTCGATGTGCCAGGTGCTACAATCCACTGCAAGTGAAGGTGCACGCAGAAAATCCATATTTATTGCACTAATGGGCTTTGGCATTGTTCTGGTCTCCAGCTGTGCATTGCTTCTCTATTTATTATAGCCCATTCTCTAGAAATGGCTTGATTTCTGAGTCTTAAATACAAATTAATTTGTTTTACTTTAAACTAGTTAAACCTGTTCTGAGATGAAGAAAAAGCCACTGTCTGGACTACTGAGTATTTCCATACCTTATTGCTTGGCCAAATCTCCTTGAATTAATTGATGAACACCAATATGCTTGAACTACAGAACTCCCTAGTCCCACATGCCATTGAACTAAATGACTTCTTCAAAATATCTCTTAAAAAGTAATCAATCACTTTTTCTGCCTGACGTTTTTGTCTTGACCATGTTTGTCATGCAATATTGTT